GAAGTTTATTTATAAAATTAGTTGGACATGATTTCGCCTGATATTTCAAAAGATATAGAGAGCTTTAGCGAGAAAATGGCATAGAAAGTTCTTGGTAACTCTTGAAAATTTGTGATTATTCAAAAATTTTTGAAAGATTTTTTAAATATTTGTTTTTCATCATAAAATCCGATCTTGTTCTTGATGACACGCGCTCCTCTTATGGGTGTAACCCTTTGCTTGTGAATTTTATGTGTTTTGTCATATAAAAGATCGCGAGCGAGCACCAGGAGGGGCTTGCTATTATACTCCGAAGGAGCCCAGAAGACTCTGTATTATTGTGATCAATAAAACTGTAAAGTAAAATACCCACTTTGTCATTAATTTTAAAGTAGTAAATGTCTTACGCTTACTAATCACCGCTATAATCCATTGTAATCCATATATACTGGATTGCAGTACGAATTTGTACAAAGGAATTAACCTACAGGTGATTATATTTATGTTAACTCTTATTTTCTCTTGCAGTTGCCTGAGTTTTATTACCAACCTGCTTTTGCTTAGTCTCATACCCAAGGTAAAGCGCCTTCGCGTTGACTGAAAAGAGACAGTCGTGATTGAGTAACTATTGCCAATCCGCCGCCGTTACGTGCGATGTGACAGAGAAGTACATTGACAATCTTTTGAAGCCTTCTATAGATCAGAATAAGTTTATGATACTATTAGACAGTTGGACTGGACACAAAAATCATAATACATTCGATTAATTTATAAACGCTAATTCAGAAAATATGTGCACGTTCAAAATTATTCCACTTTGTAAGTAATGTTATATTTCGTTCGTTTGAAGATATTCGCTATAAAATTAATGTAATTGAAAGAAATCAATGTAAAAATATTGGATTGACAAGACTATGAAATGTTTAATTTCATTCAATCAGAATGAAAGTAGATTTCTTGTAAATGTAGGATGACTCGACATTGAAGAAACTTGAAATATAATAAATCAGAATGGTAACTTTGATGCGTCATTGCCATTCTCAATGATTTTAGGTTTTATTGAAGATTATCAAAAAATTATTGTGAATGTTACACATGAACTTATTTTAACACGATCGAGAGACAATCCGAATACAATTATATGAAATCAAGTCAGACTTGACAATGAAGATGAATATGAGTCTCTCAAATTAAAACTTACGTATCGAGTGATTGATACCTTATATAATCATGTCAGAAAGACATAAGATACGATTATTTAACTTTATTAAAAAAGATATACCTATTTCCAAAAGTTTTCGATCGTGCGAGTTTTATGAATATCCAGAACTACCTCAAACATGTAAACATATTTGATAGTAAAAATATCAAATTAATTAGAAAAACCAAGGTTTGTTGTACTAGGTTTTCAGACTAAACGCAAGTCTGACAGAACAAAAAATTGTATCAATTTGTAATGTATCATTGTATTGTATTTGTATTAATGTATTGATCATTGTAATGTAAAAAATGTAAAACTTTTTCTCCATTTTCAGCAATATCAAAATAGCAATTTGAATCTTGATATTAACAATTATCAATATTGCATGTTCTACGATATATATGTACAATTTCAACATGTGTATTACAATAAAGATTGTATATTTAATCAATTTTTGGATAGAAATAGCAATTTAAAACTCATGTACCGTTAATAGTAATAGACTGTTTAAAGCAAAACGAGGCATTGAAACAAGTTGCCGTTGACGTACGTCTAGAGTTAGAAACAAAAGATAATATACCACAGGGAACAGCTGCATTGTCTGATTTAGCATGATGGTGTGATTAAATACACTCCTATTAGTGGTAATATTGTAAGACTCATCAATATAATGTTTAATAACTTTTTTATCAAAAATAAATTAAACTTATTTTTAAATACTGTGTATTGTCTTCGTTTTATTTATTTTAACTATGAGCATTAATGTGTTCGGACGTAAACTGGATGGGTCTGAGAGTAATCGTGGTATAGAATATAAAATTACAGAGAAGAATCAATATGACTTAGAAAATAAACGACTCTATAATATGAATACTGCTATTCATTCTAATGATGCTATAAACTCAAAGCCTACTCAGGATATTTTTTTAGTAGAACTTAAAAATATGCATGACACTTTATACAAATTAAAATCTCGTTTAGAAGATTTGGATGGATTAATTGATATTCTCCGAAAAGAGCTTAATATAAAATCCATAGAAATTTACTCTGACATTGACAAGTTAAAAAAAAATTAATTACGCCCACATATATTTTCTATTCAATCAGAATCATCGGCTTTTCAATGTGAGGCAGTATATTTTTTCTTTTCAACCATTCTTCATCAGCATAGGGCAGAGTAATAGTGTATCGTACACACGTCTATCTGACAACAGTGATAGTTCAAATAATAAGAAAAAAAAGTTTTCTCAGTGGAAATCATACACTGAAAATTATTCAAACAACACCACAACAATACTAAAATCAAAAGGATATGAAAAACTTTGAAGCATTTACATATACGAGGTCTGTCCGGAAAGTATCGGGCCTACCTTTATATTTTCGTGCTAGCGTTATTCTTCATCATCTGATAGGCGGCATCCTTCAAAGTAATCCCCACTTGATTGAATAACACGGTTCCATCGATGTTTCCACTTTTTAAAACAGTCCTGGAACTCACTTTTAGGGATAGCCTTAAGTACACTCGTCGCATTGTTTTCAACCGTTGTTTTGTCATCGAATCGGTGTCCTTTGAGTGGTTTTTTTAGTTTTGGAAACACCAAAAGTCACAAAGGGCTATATCGGGACTGTATGGAGGTTGTCGAAGCAATGCGATATTATGTTTGCTCAATAACTACTGCACAAGATTGGATCAATGCGCTGGCGCATTATCGTGATGGAGAAGCCAGTCACCACTTTCCCAAAAGTGCGGCTGTTTTCATCTTACTGCATCACGCAAATGTTTTAAAATTTGAACGTAGTATTCTTTATTGATTCTCTGACCTGTTGGTGCATCATTTCAATAGTTTCCGAACTCGTTTTTCCGAGTTCGGCAAATTCGTTGATCTTGTTTTTCAGTCATTTTTGACAATATCAAAATCCGACGAACGTGAAAAAGGCACGTAAACAAAGACACGCTGCGCATGAACTATACGTCCGGCAGGTGTCAGTAAGTAACCAATAGATTTGTGAGGCTTTACTGTTGACGTTTCTGTCCGGTAGAGGTCGCTCGAACACTATGGCGCGAAGATATAAACGTAGGCTCGATACTTTTCGGACAGACCTCGTACATTATATTGTAACATATACAAACACCGAACGCGAATATATAAATAATAAACAAGTAATTAGAGAATCAAAGATATCGCGAAAGATGTAACTGATCGATTGACATGTCTATTAAATCCGCTTAAGCATATTAGAATATTAGGACACACCTACTAGATATTGGGTATATAAAGGCGAGCGAGTTTGGTTGTATTCTTGGATTCTAGCCTTCCTATCTAGTTGTCGTTGTTCTCTTCCCTAGCGTACTTAATTACTTGTCGCTAAAGAGAGAAAACGCAATACTTCCTCAAGTTCATCCTTGTAGCTAGACCTAAGCTAGAGAGGGAATTGATGCACCGTTGTTCTCTTAACCGATTGAACGAACGAACCCACTTTTAGAAAACTAAACATTTGTCTTTACCTAATTCGAGATTAGTATTCCCGCGGTGAAATGACAAGACTGTTCGTTCGCACAATATAGCTTTTTCTCGGATATCCTTACTTCTCACGATATATGTGACTATATCGGGATATCAAAACGTTGATATATAGCATAAGTCGAGGTATGAATAATTGAAAATACAAATTATTATAATATACATCAACTTTTTCCTTCATTACTCATTCACAACCTTACTTTTTATAATAACTGGATATGATACATAGAGTATGGGGCCTGGGGTCTTCATGTTGATACACAAAAGTCGATAACAAGCTATGCCGGAGGGGAGGAGGGAGGGTATGGGGCCTGCATATCTGTACATAAACAAGAGTTGGTAAAAAGTGATGCTCTTCAAGCAGGTCGATCGTCAATAAACATCTGCCGATAAAAGCAGCATGGGGACCATAGGTCGTTAATATAAGATTTGATAACGTTTACCGACTGTAGATAAGGAAGGAATGATAAATAGCTCACGATCCATTTAGCCCCTACTACTCATAGTAGAGAGAATAATTTTCGCAAGAGATGAAAAAGGACCTATCGTGCAGTATAACAATTTCAAGATTGATGCTTATGAAATACTCGAAAAGAAAAAATGGACAAAAGTGTAATTAATACACCGATTTTGACCTAGAATCACCATGCTTAGAATATACGAAAGACAGAACTGTTTCTTTGTTTAACATAGGAATATTATTTTTTATTGTATGTATTTTTTCTTAAGTTAATTGCCGAACTATCAGAGTGGAATTTTCTTTCTCTGACGGATTATAGAACTTTTGTAATGTATATATACATAATTATCATAAAGTAACTCATGCCTATTATTTTAGTTAAATAAATAAATAAAAAAGTAAAATAATCTTTATACACCTCCATCACACTCACATGCACTTTTTCGCTTATTTGGAGGATGCTTATACTTCTGGAATAAGTGTTAAGGAATACAGTATAAAAATGATCTACAGAACGAAAAAAATTTCAGTTCAATAATAATAAGACAAAATTCAACAATGTTCAAATGAGAACTATCTGAATATATAACAATAAGATAGGAAATTGATGAAGTAAAATATAAAATAATTTAAGCATTCTAAAAAATAAAAGCTTTTAAATTTTTCTGAAATTAAATTCAACAAATATATTAAAGTATATACAATGATCATATTTCAGAGCATATATATGAATTTTAATTGAAATGTATATTGCCTATTAAACAATTTCTTTTTTATGACGCTATTCAATCTAATTAATAAAATCAACTGTGAAAAATAATAAAAATTAGTAATTTACTGCATCTTCTGGTAATTTTTGTATTTGATCCCAATCGAAAGAAGGCCCTTCTTTTTCAAGAAACCTTTCAAAAAGTTTTTTGAACCCATCATATTGTCTCGCTGTTGCATCTCTCTCATGATCAGGAGCAGTAGATGCAATATGTCCTAATTCCGTTTCAAGGTCAATAAACGCATCTCGTTTTGTTCTTTCTTTAAAGGCTTGTGTATCTGATGGACTACGTTGATGGCCTCGTGACTGAAATATAATAAAATAATCAGTCATTGAAATATAGTGTGAATATTTCCGCTACATCGACTATGAAATCTTTCGAGTTAAACAGTAGACATCAAATTTTATATATTAAATAAATATAATGATATATTATACTAAAAATAGCAAAGAATAACATTCGGATTATATATTTGTGTATATTTACAATGATAAGGGTAAAGTAGTTAAGCGACTGCGGTATTACAGTGCACGGAGGTCCTGAAATGAGTTTACATGAAAAGTGTCTCTACTCTAAAAATTCATTTTAGGTATAGTTTTGGGATACTTCTAGGACTATAAGACTAAAACGAAAATACTAGATGAAACTATTTTTGAAAAAACGCATTTTTCATTTTTAAAAATGTTTTATATATGTTGAGTATCCAATGAGCCATTGCCTTGCAAATTTTATCGTATATCATTGTTATTAAGATGCACACGTCTATCATATATATGTAACAACGAAAGAATGTTACGAAAAAGAATTATTTCTCAATACATAAATTACGTATATTAACAAAAGATCACACATGATGCGAATTAAATTCGTAGTTCCTTTTGTGTATTTTATTATTGCAGGAATAGTTCACTTTGACTACGCAAGTAATATTTGCTTTAAAACTCTGATACATTCCAAGGTATCAGATCGAGATTATTTGTCAATAGTAGAAAATTGATAGGTCACGCATGTAATTATTATTTCGATAAATGTGTGCGTAGAGAAAATTATTCGACAGTATGTAAGAAGCCTATCAAGCTTTAACATCTTATATTTTCCTTTTTTATTATAATAATAAACAAAAATAAGTCATCCGTGCACACGTGAAGAAATCAAGAATACTGTTTGCTTACTATATTTTGATAAAAATAAAGTGATGGTCAAGATTACAAGTGTGATTAAGAAAAAAATTGCAATTTTGTTTAATAACTATGATTATGCTAACGAATGTCTTCCGTGAATGATTTTTGCCAAATAAGAAACCAACCTTTACCGCTTTGACTCAATTAATTGAAAGGTTGAGCAAATTAATTTTCCAAAATTCAACGTAAGCAACACTACAAGGGGTCACTAAAACACATGTAAGTCTGAATATTGTAGAATAGGAAGAATGAATAGTGAGGAATGGCAAAGGAATTTTCCTCACAGAAATGTATCTCCAAGTAAACCAAAACAGTCTACACGTCCCAGCTCTAGTATAAAAATTTATATTGGTACTGAGAAGAAATGTTTACAGTGTTTTAGTGTTATTGCGACAATAAAAGCCACATATATAATGCATCAAACAGAATATTTATTTTGAAAAATAACATCCAAGAGTCATATAGTTCTAAGAGTAACTTATGTTATCATGGTTAAACAATATTGAAACTAATAAAAGTGAAAAGAATAATAAATCAAAAAATCGTTTATCATATCTTAAGTACGTGGAAAAAACTTTAAGTAACTAAAGATAATAATAAAACTGTATCAAATTTCGAAAAAGAAACAAGAATCTATGTTAAGTGTTGATGTGTTTAAAAAATTCAGGCTCATTATAATATTAGTTATGAAACTACGTGCGGTATTACTTTTAGTATTCGCATTGCTTTGAATGACCGTAACTGTATTGAACCTAACCTGAAAAAGAAAGAACTCTTACGTAGTCACTCCGTAGATGAATATTTTAATACTAGCGGCAATAACGTATCTGATAAATCTGAATCTATACTACACTGCAATAATGTAACTAAATTTATTGAACATGACACAGAATCACACGAAATTGATGACATATTTTGTAATGCGGTACATTACAAGGCCTTTCCTGAGTGCTGCATTATTTGCAACACCTCAGAAAGGACATCCCCGTCCCTTGCCGCCCCGTAACCGGTTTAATTAAATAAAGATAAACGCGCCCTATACAGAACAATTACTCTTTTTTATGTCCGAACAACCACGCCGGAGATATGGATAAAACAAACTCGTCAAACGCGATCCGACGGATGCTCAAAGAGCAGACATAAAAAAAGGAGCGCACCACGGAAAAAGAGAGCGCACGCACACACTCACTCACATACACTCCCGACCACGTGTTGCCGACCGGCGAAAGAAAAATGCAAAACTTGACTGGGAAATGCAATGGAAATGCATGTTGATGACACATGCAGATCCGTTACACTCCCAGACACCCACACTAACACTCACGAGGCACTGACACTCCTGGGGCGAGCAGAAAATCGCCGATGAAGTGGCAGCCGGCAATCAGCTGTGTCGGGCTGCCGAACACCATCTGCGACATCCTGAGCGCCACACACAAGAAATACAGCAACCACACACACACAAACACCCGGGAGAACATCACAGAACCGACACGGGAGCGCCCCAGGAGGCGCTCCAACAACCAACACAAGGACACGAGGCGTACGCGCTAGAAACGGAGCGGCCATCTTGAAGCGCCGAGACAGACTGAGAGCGAGCGAGCGAGACGGACTGAGAGCGAGCGAGCGAGACAGAGCGAGCGAAGTAGACTAAGCAAGAGCGAGCGAGACAGACTGAGACAGAGCGAGCGAGACAGAGCGAGCGAAATAGACTAAACAAGAGCGAGGGAGACAGACGATACAAAATGATAGATAGAATTGTAACGTTTGAGTATTTCTCGCGTTAATAAAAGTTCGGACTCTTTACAGTAAATTCGCAATAACGTTTCCGAAAAAAGCAAGAATTTGACACGCGCGCAATCTAGATGATCAAAAAAAGAAATCTTTGGAGTGGAAAACCACGAGGCTTTCCAACTTGATGAGTTGTTTTCGAGATGCGATTGAGAGCAATTGCATCTATCGGGGAAAGGCCCGACAGCGCCGCAATTGCTGCTCAATCCGATCTCTTAACAGCAAGTGTATTTCGGAAGGGAAGATCTCTAAGGCTGCTTTTTTCTCATGAGAGAAATAGTCTCATGAGTTGAGCTCTTAGAGATCGTTAAGGAAGGAGTTTAACAGGCTAACCACTGAAAAGAAATTCGTCTCAGGAAATAGCTGAGGCTTTATTTCAATAACAGTGCTCGCGCTGCTAAGCAAGGTAGGAAAGTGAGTCCTTTTGCCGCAGCGACGAGCGAATTTATACATGCGAAATGGGCTCCTTTCTACGCTTGGTAGCCCCTACAACGCTATTTTTGTTTTTGACGCAAATTTTATACTCGTTTTATCGCAAAATGGCTCGAACGAATTTACAATTATGCGATTTAAAAAATTAATCTGGAAAAGATGAATTTTTTAGTATAAATTGCATCTCTAGGAAAAATCGCATCTTAAAGTTATAAGCTATACAATTTAATAATCAATTTACGCCATTTTTACAATAAAATTATGGAAAATTTTTACATGGAAAAATCGCTTGTGATTAGAAGATTATTATCCATATAAAAGATGATTAATGTTGCTCTCCAATTTTGAATGATAATTAAAAAACAGATTTGCAATTTTCTTTTTTAGCGGTTTAAAAATCAGCAAATTAGTAACAATCACAATCATCAATTTTACAGATACTTATGATCGATTTTCTATCTAACCGTGTCATTTTAATTGTTTAAAAAAATTATAAATTGTTTATTTATTGATAACTCAGTTAATAATGGGTTATCAAAGTGTCAAATTCTTGCTTTTCTGTTTTAATATGTCGAGATTGTAATCGCGTACTTGAAATAACAATATCGTTGTTTATTGCAAAATAACTAACAATGTTAACTTGTAAATTAGATTTGACTAACAAATATCGATTTGAGAGTTAAATTAACATGGAATTCAGGATCAGCGCATCAAATTTAACTAAGAAATACTTTTGTTCGTTTAAAAAACTTTATAATTAACGATTTTCGGTTGTAAACAATAAATTTTCCCACGGTCGTGACGTCACGCTCCTTATATGGTAATGTTTTCGCAGAGTTGCCCTAACACATTTGCATATACGTGTGAAAAGCGCCTACGCTCAATTACCGATTTTCTCTAATTGTCTCGAGTATGACGGGTTGCCGTTTTGCAGAGGAAAATCGGAGACAAATCAGACAGGACCGTTACATAGTCTATAATATGCAAATGCGAAGATGAGGGCGCTACAAATGAAACGGCGTATATTATATACGTATCTATGACACAATAAAATTAAAATTATGATTGGAAAATAATGAGCGTGGAATAAATACCGAATTGTAAAATTCGCACGCAACCGACACCCCTATTAGGATAGCAAGCGACAACTACCCCATTAGGTTTAAATAATAAATTAATTGACCGAATTCGAACCTCTGACAAAATTCGCTAGTGACGTCATGACCAATGAGCAAATTAGAATAAAATTTGATTTCCGTCCGGATAGACAAATAGATAAGAGTAGGGGTAGATCTTTTCCAACAACTAACGATAGCTACCTTAGTGGGGGGGGGGGTGAGCGAGGGTAAATAACGACGAAAGTAGGAGAGCTAAGGAGGGCGCTGTATCCTTCTAATTTACAAACGGACCAATAATAAAATATTCGGAGGGCGCTACCGATATCCGAATTAGCATACCGACCAATAATAACATTTCTTCTCGGAAAGAGGAGAAGAAAAGCGATCTTTGACCGCGAGAAGCCGATTCTCGTCCATTTTGCCACTGGATATCTAGATAGAAGGAGCCTCTATCAGCTAATCTCGCTGCAGATTTATTAGCGCCAGACGCCTTCCATATTCTTTTTGCCAATTTTGTTTGCCAATACCGCAAGAAAAAATTGTAAGTAGGCAAAGTGCTATTCACTTTTATTTAATCGCGGAGTGCGGGGATAAATCTATCAGTACTGTAGGTCGTCGCGACGCGTGGATCCGTCGACGCCGGTGCCTATCGAATCGCGCTGACCTGTCCGCCATTTCGTATATTTTAAAGTGAGTGTTAGATGTTACGAATAAAAATTGCGATTTAGGATTCGCGCTGACCTTTCGTTAACTATTTATTACGTACGTAGGTTTAGCCGAATCAAA